GCGGGCAAGAGCAGATCCGGCATGCGGATATTCGCATGCTGCACACGCAGGGCAGAAATATTCAGACGGCCGTCTTCACTCCGGCGGTAGTCGGGCGGCTGAACGAAGACCCTGAGGGTATGGAGTTCTCAAACGCTACATAACATTGCTATACTGTTGCCTGAATTTGTGATGCAATGTATTTGCATAAATATACCATAGCAAAAGTGCAGCAAGGACGGAGGAGCTTAAGTTTGTCCGTCTCGCCGGATTACAAATCGGCACAAGTTTCTATGCTATTTGGGCCGTCGAGAATGACCGTGTCAACATGCGCATTCATTAGCTTGTCGTGTGGCTGCTGCAGGTGCAGATGGCTCCTGCACCTGCTGATAATATTGCATGACAAAAGACAAGTATACAACAACAGCAAAAAATGTAACGTTTGAGAGTCCCATAGGTGAGGAAGATGGGCGGATTAAGGAAGCCCGGGACCTCAGTAGGAATAAAGCCGTAGTCCAGCCGCCCGAAAGTTTGCGGCTGCGAGGTCCGGTCGAAGCAGACGCTGGCTAGCTCCACGTAGCTTGCGGCCTGCGGCCGCGCGAGCGCGTCTTCGAAGGTGGCGAGAAACGCGGAAGCGAACTCCTGACTCGCAGCATTAGCCGTGTACTCGCTCGAGGTGGCGAAAAACTCCTCCGAGAAGAACGCCCCCAGTTGTATTAACCGCGGCTGGCGCACCGACAAAGCATCGCCGCGAAAGCGCCGGCTTACTCCGGCAAGAGGCGAAACAATCTTTCGGGGAGGTCCGCCACGTCCTCTTGCTAGACGTCCCTGTTCGGGCCTCCTCGCGGGGGCCTCAACATCTTTCCATCTGCGCCACGCCTGGAAAAAGAGCTGCCACCGGGTCAAACCTTCTTCGACCAGCGTGATTGGTTGTCCCGGTTCAACGCGCCAAAAACTACTGATGGTTTCCGGCAACACCCTGTCTCGGACTTCATTCAGCTCGGCGGCGCCGGCGTCCGGCTGGTGTTGGCCGGAAAACATGACTTTGAAAAGCGAAGTCAAGTCATCGTTCCGCGCGCCTTCGTCGATCACGGCCCAAACTTGGTCTGGCATTTCCTCCCATTCCGGCACGAACTTTTCCCCTTGCTCCGCGGCCTTCTGCTGCTGCTCTTCTTTTCCTGCCTGCTGCCCGCTACTGGCAAGCACTGCGCGAACGCTCGTCACGCAAGAAAACGAGGACCACCCACACATCAATGCTGTTACGACCAGCACGCAAAAAGCTGCAGTCCGAGGTGCAACGACGGACATTTTCTTCATGGTGAGGGACTTCCGAGACATGATTTTCTTTTTGGTTTCAAAATTCTCTACTTGACCCAAGAAGAAGAAGAAGCACTACTTAGACTATTCCACCTGATCACACTGGTTAGTCAGATCGGTTTCGAAAAAATCAAAAAATCGTAGCTGTTTGTCGTGCGTGTAGTTAAAAACCTCAATTACAACTTGTGGATAAATTGAAATCTAAAAATCGGAGACTAAACTCGCCAAAAAGAACTCAACTGGTTTTACTTGACCTCAAAACCAATACAGAAGATCAGAAATACCTGAATCCAAAATTGATGATCAGACTCAATAATTGGCACGACTACTTAAAAATGCATTAACATACAACATTTCCTCAGCGACATCGATCGCTTTCGTCTATTCAGAATTCTGATCTCTTGAATTCTCAAAGAGGAAGTACGGTTGGAGAATCAATTGCTGTCCCACTCCATACACATCAGCCGATATATAATTTCACCTTCTCTGCGCAATTCACCCATAGAGTGAACGCGCGCGCAACCAACGGAAGCGAATGACGTGCAGAAGCGCGTCGCAGTGATAGTCGCAAGACCTCGAGCGACAGTCACAATGGCAGCCAAGAGAGAACCCGGCCGGCACAACGAGCTACGGGTAGCAGGCCATGCAAGCCAGGCTCTCGACCCCCACAGAGCCATGCCCCGGACATAGAGGTGGCCCAAGCCGCGAGACGCGACTGGGAGCTATCTGTCGTAGCTGTGTTTCGTTTAAATTTCGCAAAGGCCACAAAAGCGTCCCCAGGCCCGTTGGATGAGTCAGGATCTCCTGGGAGACCCCGAAGCAGGAGAAGAACGAACCTGTTCACAGAAGCAAAAGAGCATCTATGCAGCGCTCCCTCTCGCCCCCACACCAACCGCTGAACCCCTCGACTGCGTCGACTGCATTCAAGCAATCAACACCGGCGGACCGACGCCGAGGAGCGAAGGACGGAGTCGCGAAGCCGATAGGCCACGCTCCTCAGCTCTCCTTCCGTGTCA